AACTTCTTTTTATTTTAGAACTGTTCTCGCTGTAGGCTCTTGCTCGCAAAAGCCCCTGTGTGTTTTAACAAAAATTTTGAAGTTTTCCTTCCTTTTAAAAGTGGACCTCAATGTCTTGAGCAGCTCTGGGCTGGTAGTTGCAAAGTCAGCAACTGGAGCCTGATACACAATGGTATTTTGGTCTATGCCGAGACTTATGTAAGCCTCAGCTTTGCTGGTGCCATCATTCAGGGTAGGGGTAGGGTAGGGTAAGACTTTATTGATCCCACATTGGGGAAATTCCAATGTTCCAGCAGCAATAGAGAGCAAACAACAAAACACCACAAGAACAACAAACACCATAAGGACCTCCGAGAAGCAAATCAAAGATACCTAAAAAACAAGACAAAGCATAGCACTTGAGAGAAATCAAGAACAAGAATATTACTCCCACAATTAATTCTACAATGAGGAAAAACCCCATATATCAACAGCAGTAGAGACTAAACAACAGACACCATAAGAATGTTGATTGAATGAAGAAGATTACCACAATGTAATAGTGAATGGACTGATCAGGGGTTTTCACTGTAAGATAAGAGAAAACACACAAATGGATTGATCCAAGCAAATGAAAATGAAATCCACTCTAATGGCAGTATTACACTGTGTATTTGCCTCATCATGAAACAATAACTGTTATAGAGTACATTCAAACTCACCAGCCTCTTGTGTACTGCAAGAGCATATCATGCATTAATGGATTACAAAGGTAGCCACACACTGCAAATATAACTTTATTAAGTTGTATTAGTAACATTGCAACTCCGCACAAGTTGTGTTCCATGCATAAATTGTATATAAAGATGAACAGGTCACCACTTCCCTCAACTGTGCAAATGTGAAGGCAAAATATCAAAAATACGGTGGCTGCCATCTTGCATTTTGCAACCAGATTCTGCACAGTAGTAACCAGAAGTGGAATGACAGCATCAGGTGGCCAATCAAAGCTGTCAAATGAACCAAAATATACAGTTGAGTGCAAAAGACTGCATCTCCTTCCTTTGAAATGGCAAAAAAAAGTAAAACAAAGAATGTTTATTTTACTACAGCTTTATTTATACACTCCCTGACCATTTTGTTACTTCTGTTGATGAAGGAACAGCTGTTCAATACTAGCTGAATATTATGTTGATGAGAAAAAGCATTCTTTGTTTTACTCTTTTTGCCATTTCAAAATAAGGGATACAATCTTTTGCACCCTGTTAGGATTTGGACTCATTTCCTGTTTTTGTGCTTTTATTTTGGTTTTCTTTCCTGTTCCGTTCCACCTCTCCTGCCCAAGCTTTACCACAGTTCGCCATCAGTGTTCATTGTCCTCACCTGTTGCTAATCATTCTCCGGTTTTCAGCCATATATATACTACCTCCTTTCCCTCAGTCACTTGCTGGCCCGTTAAAAAGTTCATGACATCGTACTGGTTTGCTTAGTCGCACTGGCTTCGTCCTGACCAAAGACCTAAGGATTTCTTCCTGAAGGTTTCCCTCTTCATTCTCTGCAAGCAGATTACATGAACTCTCCAAAGCCAAATAAAGTCTCCTCTTACCCAGAGCTGTGTGAGTTTCCTTTGTTCTCGTGTCTGCTACTCACCTGTGTTCTTAGTTCCTACCTGGTTTGCTGTTGACAGCACCACTTGCCTGTGTTTCCACATTCCTGCCTGTTTTGCTCCTGATGGAGCCATTAAGCAGTGTGGGTCCCTCTCTGTCCTAAGTGAGCCAGCCACCTCCAGTCCTGTGGCCAACTCACCTCTTACTCCTCGCTGCTCCTGATCCAATGACTCCTCGACGACCTGCAACATCACTACTCCAGTCTAGCAACCTCCACATACCTGTATCTCCTTGCCATCGTCTATGAATCTCCTGAACCAGGATCAACCCTGCTCATCTCCTCGGTGTCCTGTGACACAGACTCAGCCTACACCTGCCCTACCACCGCCTGGGACCTAACCAGATCTACAGCCAGTCGGCTTTACTATTCCACCTCCCTTGACGACAACTCCACCAGCTCCAGTCCTGCAGCCCCACTCACCTGGGGCCTCACTTGTAGCAGTTGGGGTGCTCTCAGCCATGACCTGTTGCCTCTTCAGCGGGACTTTTTCCAACCCTCACATCCACCACGGTTTTCTGTCTCTGGGAAACCTCTCCAGTCATCTGCCTCCCCTGAGCCTGCCACAAGTCCTGCTCCGGTACACTTACCCAAACGCGGGCTTGGTAGAAGCCTGCCTGAAACTCTGACCTCTTGTACAATTGTTTGAATAAAGCCCTATTGAACTTGCTGCCTGAGTCTCCCCTAGAGTCCTTTTGCCTTGACTTGGCTCCCTAGCTGTAAGATACCCACCTGTACCCCTTTTTATATAATCAAACAAACTTACAAGAAAAATGATCCATTGTACAAAAATCAGTATGATATCTACCTAAAATAACAGAAATCATGTCTGTATTTGATTTGTACTTTGAGTTTTTAGTTTTCACTCATGTCCTGTCTGCTAACATGGAGGGGGGTGGGGTTTATGACCTATACTGCAGTCAGCAAGGGGTGATTGACTTTTGGTGGCTTCACTTCTGGGAACTGTCTGACTGTCCATCTTTATATACAGTTTACAGTAAATACTAGGCTTTATCCAAATGAGAATTTCCAGAGTCAACTTACTGGAAATCCACACTGAAAGTGAGTGTTGCATTCTGTGTCTTTGTCATCAGAACAGCTGTCTGTGTCTGTCAGCAGGACAGTGGCTGAACAGAGAGTCTTTACCAGGTCAAACAACAACACAAGTATACTGAAAAAATAGTTTTTATGTAAGATCGTCAGGAAGAAATTGTGTTTTTACTGTATGTAACCTACTGTATGTCTGTGCAAATTCTCAGTCATCCAGGTTGTAGTATGCTGAAAAAACTTAGAAGAGGCATCTGGGTGTAGTTTTAGGT